AGTTTTTGGTTCAGATGTAATGTTTCATACTGCTGGTGTATGAATATATTTTTAAAAATAGATGATTTTTGAGATGTTCAGGTATGAAAAAATGGATGGGCTGTCTTAATCTAGTACACCAAAACTCTGGTGCATCAATGCAAAATGTAGTCTGAACGGACCCCACAGGAAAAGTAGTGATGAAAAAAGCACTTACCAGTTTAAGCAATCATTATTTGTACATTCATTCTTCGTAGCTAGTGTAATGGTGGTGTTGTAGGGGGTCTATTCTCATACAGTGTGCTATAATGTATGCTCTAATGTCCCAGAAAATTGGTAGGTTTGTTCCTGTGGAAGCTTCCCATTGCTTCAGAAGCCTGACAGATGACCTACAAAGGAATAGCATGTGAAATCCCATACTTTCCTTATACCGCTGGGTGTGACCACACCCCTACACCGAAATGGAATTGAGCTCCTCCTAAGCAAATGGGCCCCATGTTATCCAAACCTGCTACAGCCTGCTCAGTTGCAGACACTTACAGTTGGTCAAAATTACAAATTAAAACTTGGAAAAAGGACAATAGAGTGCCAAATACTGTATTTCTCATCTTACTCGAGCCATAGCTGTAATACCCAAGGCACTCCCACTACCTAAAGTGGAACTCTAGTGAAAACATTTTACTCGCCTTTTACTCAATTTCTGTAGTGTAGGAGCTCCTGCCAACAAGATCCTGGGAAATGCTGAGTAGCCCAAATCGCTCAAGAATTGCATTACAGTGCAGGATTCTCCTTTCATGAGCTTTGGGCTACTCAATATTCCCCAGGATCTCACCAGAAGGAGATGACATCATTTTTGACTAGGTCCCATGGGAGGAAACTAGGGGAAAGGTGAGTCTTTGGGTCCTTTCACACGGGCGTTCTGTTTTTTTCATCAGTTCAGTCACGTTTTTCCAAAGAAAAAACAGGTGAGTTTACATCCGTTTCTTCATCCGTTTTTAGTCATCAGCTGTCAGCGGGGTTCCGCACTGACAGATGAATGTAAAAAAAAAATTGACGGCAATTAAAAAATAATTTAAAAAATGGCGTGGGGTCCCTCCCAAAATCCATACCAGACCCTTATTCAAGCATGCAGCCCGGAAGGTCAGGAAAGGGGGGACAAGCGAGCGCCCCCCCCGAACCATACCAGGCCACATGCCCTCAACATGGGAGGGTTATTTGGGGGGGGGGCTCCCCCCAAAGCACCTTGTCCCCATGTTGAACCCTGGGCTGTGGTTGTGGGGGTCTGCGGGTGGGAGGCTTATCGGAATATGGAAGCTGCCTTTAGCAAGGGGGCCCCCAGATCCCGGCTCCCCCCTATGTGAATGAGTATGGAGTACATGGTATCGCTACTTAGTCCTTTATTAAAAGAAGAAAAATAAAATAATATCCCCCAAAGTATATCCAACGTCAATCATGATGCCCAACACCGAAGAGAAAAAACAAAGGCTTCACTCCCTACCCTGACTCCCGGCCTCCTGACTGCTCCGCTGGTTTGACAGTTCTTAAATATCATGTATGTGCCCCCCCCGTGTGACATCAATGACCCAGCATGTCCCGGTTGATGACGGGTTCACACAGGTGATGTCACCGGGTAGCCATGCCCCTACATATTTAACAACTGTCAAACCAGCAGAACAGTCAGACGGCAAGAGCCAGCATTGGCAGCGGAGCCTTTGATTTTTTTTTTTCTTTTTTCAGGGAGGCTGCGGGCATCGTGATTAATGTTGGATCTACTTCGGGGGACATTCCTTTATTTTCTTCTTTTAATAAAGGACTTGTCAAAGACTGCCTCCTGTCTTTTTTCACACTACACTTTTTTTGTGAATGAGTAGCGGGTCCATGTACCCCATACTCATTCACATGGGGGGGGCCCCGGGATCTGGGGGCTGGCCTTGTATGGTTCGGGGGGTGCTCGCTCACCCCCCCCCCCTTTCCTGACTGGCTGGGCTGCATACAATCCGTTGACATCTGTTTTTCGTCCGTTCTGGGAAAAATAGGTTTTTCTTCTGTTCAAAAAAAACAGATGTTAATGGATGCGGACATTAACGGATGTAAAAAGATGTTCATCCGTTTACACCCGCAAGTCCATAGAAACACATGGGGGTCTGTTTTTCATCCGTAAACGGACAGAAGAAAAACAGGCATATGGAATATCTGTGTGAAAGGGGCCTAATTTTTTTCCCCCCTGCAGGTGTTTTTCCACTTTTAACTAACATTTTATGGAGGATGAGGAGACAGAGGGCCTTGAATAAAGAGATATTGCCACTAGTATGCCAGGTCCCTCTTTAAAGTTGCCTTGTTGCTGTCATCCATTTTGGTGTCTCGGAGACAAATGAATAGTACAGAAACAAGTGACAAGAGGCAGGTGTTCCACCTGTGAGAGCACATGTGACAGCTTGCATGAATCTTAGATTTTTGCATAAATCTTAGAATTACATAACATTCAGATTAAGGTAAAGTAAATTAATTTTTGACTGCATCACAGCTGCAGGGTTTGCTAACATCAGTAGTTCACCAATTGGTTTCACATGAAGCAAAATGGAAAAAAATCAATGCAACCTCTTTCTGATTTCCAAGTTGCACAGTTCTAGAGTTGTAAAACTGAACCTATTCAGCTTCGAATAGCAAACCAGACTGTGGCTGATATTAACAACAGAAATATGTTGGTTGCAGGGGCGGACTGACAACTCATGGGGCCCCGGGCAATAGGGGATCATGGGGTCGCTGTATCCTTGCCCAAACTCAAAAAAGCCTATGAAAAAGGTACCAGGGGCATCTCATGGGGCCCCATACTGACCCCGGGCCCCTGGGCAGTGCCCGCATTTCAAAATGGTCAGTCCGCCCCTGGTTGGTTGCCACTTTGATCACTTGAAAATACTAGCTGCCTGACTCTCATTATTTTCCTAAGGCTTCAGTGCTTTTGAGGTTGTTGATCAAATGCACATAGACCATCCATGACTGAATAGAATGTATCAGTCACCTTTCACCAAGTTGGATCTGATATGTAAATTCTGCATCTTTTCATGTCTGTGTATTTATCCAGAAATTTATACAGACTACAGGTTTTATTTTGAGCAATAGCCGGAAAACAGATTGCAAAAATTCCCCACTCTATATCACTGTAATATTTAATCTAATTTTTAATACTAAGCTAAAACATGAAATAGGCTGCTTTGGCAGCACTAGGAATATATATTACAAAAGACAGACATTTACCCAGGAGTTCTGACTCTAGCTGCTTGTTCTGGGCCACTATCTAGACAACCAGGAAACTATCATTTTGTAAACGACTTTAACAATGATAGCCTACAGATTTTCTATAAATATATGCACCTGACCTGCTTAAAGCATAGCTTAAAGGAAAAACTTTTTTTTATAGCTTTGAATAGAGTAAAGAGGGATTAGAATCTCTGTTACATTTTTTTTGCTGTCTGTGTCCCCGGTAGGAGGATTCACCCTCTTTATATGTCCTGGTGACTGTTAGCACCAAGAGTGAAAATAAAAGGAAATACCAAATGTTGAGTTGTCACCAGAACAGGAAGAGGAAGTCTTTCAAAGGAAACACTAGTTCTCGTGACAATCAGGGGTTTCCTCACTTGGTTGGGACAAGAAGTTAAGGAAAATCTCCCTAATGAGACACAGATGAGAAACAGCTTTTTTTGAAAACTCCAAGAGGGCTTTCATGTGTTTTGCACTTTGGAGAGGCTTCCATCTAGCCAATCTACCATAAAGCTCAGATCGGTGGAGGGCTGCAGTGATGGTTGTCTTTCTGGAACATTGTCTTATCTCCACACAGGATCTCTGGAGCTCAGCCAGAGTGACCATTGGGTTCTTGGTCACCTCTCTTACTAAGACCCTTCTCCCCTGATTGCTCAGTTTGGCCAGGCAACCAGCTCTTGGTAGAGCCGCAGTTGTGACAAACTTCTTCCATTTGAGAAAAATGGAGGCCATTGTACTCTTGGGAACAGGGGCGGACTGACAACTCATGGGGCCCCTGGGCAATAGGGGATCATGGGGCCCCTGTGTCCTCGCCCACACTCAAACCACACCCAAAAAAGCCTATGAAAGGTACCAGGGACATCTCATGGGGCCCCCTACTGACCCCCGGGCCCTCGGGCAGTGCCCGAGTTCCCCAATGCTCAATTCGCCCCTGCTTGGTAACCTTCAGTGCAGCTGAATTTTTTGTAGCCTTCTCCAGATCTGTGCCTTGCAATAATCCTGTCTCTGAGCTCTGTAGGCAGCTCCTTTGATCTCATGGCTTTGCTCTGCTACAGTATGCATTGTCAGCTGTGAGGCCTTTTATAGAAAGGTGTGTGCCTTTGCAAATCATGTCCAATCAATTTAATTTACCACGGGTGGACACCAATCAAAGTGTAGAGACATCTCAGCAATGATCAAGAGAAACAGGAGGCACCTGAGCTAAATTTCAAGTGTTGTTCCAAAGAGTCTGAATACTTATGCCAATGTGATATTTCAGTTTTTCCTTTTTCATACATTTGCAAACATTTCTAAAATTCTGTTTTCACTTTGTCATTATGAGGTACAGCGTGTAGATTAATGAGAAAAAAAAAGAATTTAAATGACTGAGGTTACAGGCTGCAACATAACAAAATTGAAAAAAAGTGAAGTGGGTCTGAATCCTTTATGAATGCAATGTACAAGACTGACCTGCAGTTCACATAGATGTAGTTCAGCTGCATATTGTTTGGGGTTTCTCCTGAAGTTTATATATTAGATATTCTTATAAAGTAAACCAAGTCTGCTTGCTCCAGAAAAAAAGTAAGTTCTTTTTAGGCCTCAAGCACACTGGGTATTTAGCTCTGGTGAATAGGCTCCAGTATGGGTGGAAGGCACAGCTTCAACATCCAGCCCTGCCACCGGCAGCCCATAAAAGTTTATGAGAGGCTGACAGTTGCTGTGGCTTGGTGGGTCTGGACGGTGCAGACTGCTTGCGTACCGAGCATTCATCCCTGGGCACATACTGTCTTAAATATAAATAGCACTCAATGTACTATCCAGCCCAGGAGCGGACTGACAACTCATGGGGCCCCCGGGCAATAGGGGATCATGGGGCCCCTGTGTCCTTGCCCAAACTCAAAAAAAAGCCTATGAAAAAGGTACCAGGGGCATCTCATGGGGCCCACTACTGACCCCGGGCCCTCGGGCAGTGCCCGAGTTTCCAAATGGTCAGTCCGCCCCTGATCAAGCCCTATACAACCACAGCAGCTGTCAGCCTCATAATGTTTACAGACTGCCAGCAGTGGCACTGGACACTGCACCTTAAGCTTCCACATGCACCTAAAATCGGTATTAAACCTAAAATCGAAAATGTTAAATATTGCAGCTTACCAATCATTAGATGTGTTGGCTACATTAGTTTTCTTTTTGTAGACCTTTTTCCCTTCTGTTTTTACCTTGTGCTCTGGCCAGTAACACACCTCCTGTATTTGAGTGCCTCCATTCTGGATGAAGGAGCACCTTTGAATAGCAGCATTGTCAGTCTCAGTGGAGGTGAGCTTTAAATGTACTAGCAGATTTAAATACACTAACAAATTAAGACCAAAAGCCAGTTCACACTTTATATTCAGTTACAGTACCAGTTATTTTTCCTTTTTGTCTGATCAAAGCTGATCATTGTAAACATCCTTGCCAGTGTTGAATGGTTTGTCATATTCCTGTAAACTGATACATCTAGAAGAGAGTTTGTTCTTTTAAAGAAAAAACAGTTACTGGCTGGATCGCCAGATGAAAATAGAAGAAAGAAAGCTTAAAAAAAGAAAACTAATGCAGCTATCACATCTCATTGGTAAGCTGCAATATAATAAATGTTTGCTTTTGGGCGTAAACACCAGAGCCGCATGCATCTGGGCTAAACACCCTGTCCGCATGAAGTCTCAAGGCCCATTCCATGTTATGTGTAAATTAATGCCCAGTATATTCTGTAACTGCCAACCTGTTACTGTCTTCTGGAAGGAAGTTACATTGTGTATCACAGAAGGTTCTCACTGCCCTTGTTCTCTGACTGTCTCTGTATGCCTCTTCCCATATATATATATACAGTTGTGTTCAAAATAATAGCAGTCAGACATCACTAACCTGATCAATCACTGTTTTTGGTAGAAATGATATTTCTACATGGCAAATAATTTACTAGCAGGTGTAGTAGAGTAATAGAAATCCAACAGACACAACAGTCATGACATGCATGCTGCTGATTCTGTGTCATTGAATCACTAATTGAAAGGGGCATGTTCAAAATAATAGCAGTGTGGAGTTCTATTAGTGAGGTCATTCATTCTTTGAAAAACAGGTGGCAATTATTGCCCTTATTTAAGGAAGGAAGGCAGCAAATGTTTGTACATGCTGCTTACAGTGCATTTCTCTCTGAAATTCTGAGGAAAATGGGTCGTTCCAGACATTGTTCAGAAGAACAGCGTACCTTGATTAAAAAGTTGATGGAGAGGGGAAAACATATAAAGAAGTGCAGAAAATGATAGGCTGCTCAGCTAAAATGATCGCAAATGCTTTAAAATTGCAACCAAAACCTGAAAGATGTTGAAGAAAGCGAAAAACTACCATTCGAATGGATAGAAGAATAGACAAAATGACAAGGACTCAGCCAACAATCAGCTCCAGGAAGATCAAAGATGGTGTAAAGTTACCTGTGAGTACTGTTACAATTAGAAGACGGCTATGTGAAGCCAAGCTATCTGCAAGAAGCCCCCGCAAAAGTCCCACTGTTGAAAAAAAGACGTGCTGAAGAGGTTACAATTTGCCAAAGAGCACATTGACTGGTCTAAAGAGAAATGGCGCAACATTTTGTGGACTGATGAAAGTAAGATTGTTCTTTTTGGGTCTAGTGGCCGGAGACAGTTTGTCAGACGACCCCCAAACACTGAATTCAAGCCACAGTACACTGTGAAGACAGTGAAGCATGGTTGCACAAGCATCATGATATGGGGATGTCTCTCATACTACGGTGTTGGGCCTATTTATCGCATACCAGGGATCATGGATCAGTTTGAATACATCAGAATACTTGGAAGAGGTCATGCTGCCTTATGCTGAAGAGGAAATGACCTTGAAATGGATGTTCCAAGGAGACAACGACCCCAAACACACCAGTAAATGTGCAACATCTTGGTTCCAGACCAACAAGATTGACTTTAAGGAGTGGCCAGCCCAATCCCCGGATCTTAATCCAATAGAAAACTTGTGGGGGTGACATCAAAAATGCAGTTTCTGAGGCAAAACCAAGAAATAGAGAAGAACTGTGGAATGTAGTCCAATCATCCTGGGCTGGGATACCTGTTCACAGGTGCCAGAAGTTGGTTGACTCCATGCAACACAGATGTACAGCAGTTCTCAGAAACAGTGCTTATACAACTAAATATTCATTAAGTGATTCAAAGGAAAGCAAAATCTTCAAACATTTTTCAGTTTATATAGTGAATGTTTGAGTATGTAAAGAAGAATACAAACACTGCTATTTTTTTGAACAGTCTAATATTCACTTTTCTTCATTTTTTTTAGAACAACACAAATTTGATATATTTTTCTTCATGTTTTGATTTGGAATAGAATGTGTAGTGTTCCCAATGCATTTGTGTGTATGGAAATAAAAGCTACTTAGAAAGATTTTGAGCTTTTTCACTTTTTTCAACACACTGCTATTATTTTGAACACAACTGTATATCTATATATATCTATATATAGATATATATATATATACTGTATGTTGAAATGCATTTTTATTACAAAATATATGAAAATTTATTTTAAAAATAAATTTCAAATATACTGTATGTCTTTAAAAATACAAATCTACATTTTTGGAATGCATTTACAAATATATATAAAAAATATTTTTAAAATTATTTTTTTTAAATATAATCTTCAGATTTTTTTTTTAACAGATAAAAGGTAATTTTATTGAAATATATATTGAAATATATTGAATATGGCCAAAATTGTAGTATTTCAAATATATGGCAATATATTTGGGAAGAATATTTTAAAAATATATTTCAAATATATTTTTCTTCCATGTGGGTTGGGTATGGTGGATGAGGTGGTTCTGACTAATGCTCATAGAACCTTTCTCAACACCTTATTATTCTATACTCGTAAGGCTATTATATTGCACTGGAAGAAACCCACTGCCCCACACGGTTTCCTTCTGGAAAGGTCTACTAAATACAATGATCCCTACTACATGGCCACTTACCTGCCTAGGGGTTGTGTTAAGAAGTTTAATAAAGTCTGAAAAGCGTGACTTTCCTCCTCTGCTACAACAGGGTAGGCCACATTGCATATTATATCGAGGTCTCCTACAAATTTCTAATACCTGTTAGCCATTTAAAATATAATTCACGCTCTCTTATAGTGATGTCTGTGATGGCCTGAATGAGGGATTTTACCTGAATTACTCCTGTGTTACTATTAGTCGATGGTTGGAGGGAATTACACTGTTGGAGGGTTCTCCCTGGATAATAATAATTGGATTGGACGAGAGGGGGGGTGGTGTAACAGGGAAAGGGGGATCTAGGTTTCTCTTCGCCCTATTAGTCGGTCTCTGTTATTGGATAACAATGCAAGTTGGTTTTACTGTTCTTTTTGCAATTGTTCGGGACCTTGCAAGGTCTCTTTTATGTTTTACGGTTGGCGCTATTTGAGGCACAATGTTAAGTTTCTGTATCTGTTTTTATGCAGAAATTGAATAAAAAGAATTTACAGAAAAAAATAAAAAATGAATGCCCAAGCATTAATGGGGGGTTAATTCCATGCAGTGGTGCAGTGGCTGGAGGAGAGGTTACTTCCCGTTGTGGGGGTAAAAAGGGGATTTTTCCCCAGGGCGTAGTTCTTTTTTTTTGGTTCTATGGGAAAGCCAGGGAAGCCACGCATTCTGCAATGTGATTGTTAGCTGAGAAGGGAGTCCATCAGTAACAGGATCTGGAGTCAGTAAGTGTGTAAAGTTGCCAGTCATTTTTGTGTGGGAAGTGCTTGAACCAAAGGTATGTACACCTTAGTACAGCCTTCACCATTGCTTCAGTCTGATTTATCTCAAGGGAACTGTCATTATTAATATTGTCTATACCACAGAGAATTTAAGTGACTTGTGTTCAACTCAGTTCATTGCTGAACAATTCCATTGTAATGGAAATGATGCAGAGGAACTGTTGAAATAATTTTCAGGTCTTGGGGAACCTCTGCTAAAACCAATTCAGTGAGGAAAGCGCCACTTATATTGGTGTGGCAGACAGAAGGATGCCCCCATTACGGTCACGGTCAGACTGCCAACCTTACAGACAGCTAAAAACAATGGTTTGGTGTAATGCTCAGTGATGTTGGCCTTGGAACTATGCAGGAACTATCAGGTGAGAGGTCAATCAATCTCGGCTTAAGAAACCCTTAGCAACCTCTGGAGGAAACCTAGACCTCTTCAGAACCCTTGTAAAAAGGCAGCGCTAAAGTAAAAAAACTTTAAAAAAAGCTGCTAGCACCATACATAAGATACTGTAAATAACCATAATAAAGAAACAAATAGTGCAGAGCTAAAAACCATAAAACCCCCCCCCCCCCCCCTAAAAAAAAAACAGTTTTATTATGTACAACAAAAAAAAAGTCAAAAGTCCTATATATAAATGAGCCCCACCAAGAGAATTAAAATTACAGTACACTATTGGAACTGTCTTTTTGCCTTTTCTTATGTATAATGCATTAATGCTGTTTATGTGAGAGAGAGATAAGCTCCTAGGATGGTGTCAAGCCTGATGGTGACCAATCTTTTGAGTAACATACAAGCATTTTCTGACATTTCATGTGAGGGTCACAGTCTCTCTGGTAAGCCTCGGAGTGGTTGGAGAAGCACATGAGGTGTTTTGGATGCACACAACATTGAACTCAAGAGAGGGATTGCTTCCTTTGTTTGGCAGTTTAATTTTCATTCACTTGGTGGAAGTCACTTATATATATAGAACTTTTGACTTTATTCTTTGTCTATATAATAAGGTTTTTTTCCCGCTATTTCATGTTTTTTAGTGTTGCACTATGTGTTTCTTTATTTCTCTGAGAATGAGTGGGTAAATGATATCCCATCTGCAGAGCAATTTAACATTTCTGTACCAACATTGTGAACTTAACTCAGCAAAGAAGTCTGTTTATTCTACAAAGTCTGGTCTGGTCACCTAATGCAGAAAA